CCACTGGGTGGCTGGGCAGCATCTCTGCAACCAAAGCTCTCTCCCCAACTACAGGAGACACTGTAATCACCAGGATTTCTGACAAGAGGGTCTAGAGATATCTGAGTCCTCGTTCTCTGCCCCTCCCCCCTCCCACTTCTTGAGACAGAGTCTCACTCTGTCACCCTGGGTAGAGTGTCATGGTGGCAGCCTAGCTCACAGCAACCTCAAACTCCTAGGCTCAAGTGATTTTCTTACTTCAGCCCCCCAGTAGCTGGGACTACAGGCACCTGGCACCACACCTGGCTAATTTTTCTATTTTTAGTAGAGACAGTCTTGCTCTTGCTCAAGCTGGTCTTGAACTTCTAAGCTCAAGCAATCTACCCACCTCAGCCTCCCAGAGTACTAGGATTACAGGCCTGAGCCGGCAGGAGTGGCTCTCTGCCCATTCTGTAGATGAAAGACAGAGGCATGGGGGGTATGGGAGTCAGTCCCTTGTGGTCAGAGAGGAAGAGAGTCTCACTTCCTTTTTCTGGGGAAAGCGAGGAGGCCCCTCAGGAAGCCCCCCTCCACCTTGGGTTGTGTAACTGCCCCCGCCCAGCACCACCTTGGCCCTCCCCTGGGTTCCTATCTCTGCCTTTCTCTGAACGTGTGTCCCCTGAGAGCACCAGCGCCACCAGAGTGAGAGGAGTGAATAAGTCACATCTGCCTGATTTACTTCAGCCTTTGGACACAGTGTCATTAAGAGACAGCAGACAAGGTTCCCTTCAGGGACTCAGGCAGACTGGACTTGAGGGAAACCAGGGGCCATCGGGATAAAATGAGCACACCAGGTCCTCGCAGGCAGTCTACAACATGTAGAACTTGAAAAAGTTGGTAGAGTTCGAGTCCGAGCCGCAGCGCGCTCATGGGGCCCGCATGCCTCACTTCCTGTCTCCCAAAACTTGGCTCGCAGACCTTTTCCCCGGGCGGAGTCCGGCGGCGGCAGCGACGGTGAGGGGAAAGCCCTGGGGGCGGGACCGGCGAATGAGAAACGCCGCACAAGGAAGCCCACGGGTACGGGAGGAGGCAGAAAGACGAGCGGACGGACAGACGAAGGACGCGCGGCCGAAGCAGTGGAACGGCCAGACCCGGGCGTCCCTCCCCCAGGGCAGGGCGGGCGGAGGTGAGGAGGCGGTGGTGGCCGTGACCTCAGAGTTGGAATGCAGGCTCCCAGGCGCGGGGGAGGTGCCGACAGCTGCACCGGCCGCCGGGGAGGGGGCGCGCCGCTGCTTTTTTTAATTGTATGACCATTTATTTAAGAGTTTCCAAATAAAGCAAGGCTTTTAATACAAAAAAAAAAAAAAGAAGTTGGTAAAGTAATATAAGGCGTGGTAAAGATGGTAAAAAGCCTGAGCTGTGACCCCAGGATTTGAGCCGGGGCCCGAGAGCTGCAGGGACACTCACCATGCTGGGGTGGACAATATGGGGTGCCAGGCACAGCGCGGCGCGCAGCACACATTACAGAGGGGCTGCTGCATGTTCTTTTTTGCCTCCTATATCCTGTACTGGGTGCCAGCAAAGCTGGCCCCTCTGAGACACCAATAGATGGAGTCAAAAAGAAATCCAAGGAAACTCTTTTCTCTCCAGCCAAAGGACCAGGGAAGGGGCAACCCTGGAAGACAGAAAACCTATAGACAATAACTGCCACCCCAAACCACAGAGACACGGTGGCCCTGCTACCAACCTGTCACCTAAGCTGGGCAGGATGCATGAAAAAGGGGAGCTAGGGCTCCCATATCTGCCAGGCATGGAGAGATGTCTGTAGGGCCGGGGTGGGAGTGGTGTGGAAGTGACTCTCCCTCCTCTGTGGGGCACCTGAGCTCCCATCCCACCCTACCCCCACAGGTGTCCATGTGGGTCACATGGGGACCTGGATTTCCACCCCCACCAGGCAGCAAAGAGGCAGTGCCCCCTTCACTCCCAGGGTCAGAGGACGCTGCAAAAACACAGGATTTCATCCTGGTAGATGTTATCTTACACAGAGGAGGAGGCCAGGGGTCTCTGAGTTTATCTTTTCTAAGAATGCACTGACTCATGCAAGGCTCTGGAAACCTGTTGGCTTCCTTCCGGGCCTTTCTCTGGAGGGCCGTGCCCAGTCCCTGAGCCAAGGGATTTTGTGACACTCTGCTGGCAAGAATGAGGAAACATGGCTTCTTGACGTTTGCAACTTTGTGCCAGAAGACATACCTTCAAAGTCCCAGGAAGCCAGGTGAGAGAGTGTGAAACTAAAAAGCATTTGAAGCAGGAGTGTCTAGAAGTTACCCACATTTGGAAGATATAAATGACAGATTCAAGAAGTGAGGGGGCCTTAGAGCTGGAGGTGTAACACTGCTGTGGGCTGTGACGCCATGGCACTCAACCAAGGGCGACAAAATGAGACTGTCTCTTAAAAAAAAAAAAAAAGTGAGGGGGCCCTGAGGAGCACAAAGTCACAGATATCCACACCAGACACATTATAGTCAAACTTAGAAGTTGAAGGCAAGATAAAAATCTTGAAAGCAGCCAAAAAGAAAGAGTCCCTTTACCCGCCAGAGAAGCCAGTTATAATATAATGTCACTGAAGAAATGGCTTCTTTAGTGCCATTAAAAAATGCAACTAAATCAAGAGATTTATATGAAGCAGAAAAAAATTATGTTAAAGCGATTTTCTCTGTCCATTGTCAACTCTTCTGGTATCGTTACTGATGGCGCCCAGTGATGGCACATGAAAGAGAGGGACTTACAAAATTAATAGATGATGCAATTGCCACCCAAAACTCACATTTGATGAAGTACCATTGCATAGTATTTCAAGAAAATTTATGTGCAAAAGCTTTAAAATTGAATAATGTCATGCAATCATAAGGGCCCAGGGATGAAATCATCCACCAATTCCAGGAATTCCTTAAAAGTCTTGATGCTGCTATGGGGCGGTGCCTGTGGCTCAAAGGAGTAAGGCCCCATATGCCGGAGGTGGCAGCTTCAAACCCAGCCCCAGCCAAAACCTTCAAAAAAAAAAAAAAAGTATCGTTGCTGACTAGGGAAGTTGAGGCCAAATGAACTCGCTTATGGTATCAAAAGCCAAATTTCTGCCAGAACTTGACAATGAAAACTGGTTTACAGATTTAGCATTTTTAGTAGCTACAACTGCTCATTTAAATGAGTTAAACATGGTCTTCAAGGTGAAAACCAATTTATCAATACAATGTTTCAAACCATAACAGTGTTCCAAATGAAACTGAAATTATGGCAAGCGCAAATTAAGGCAATTTTACACATTTCAACTTGCTGGCTAAAGACAGTCCTGTGAACAGCAAAAAATATGTAGTCTTCCTTTTTTATTTGATATAAGAATTTGAAAACAGATTTCAAGATTTCTGGGAAAATAATATTTTGGTGCATGTGTGACTCCATTTTCAGTTGACATGTTACCTGCCAGCTTTTAGATGCAATGCGTAGAGTTCCAATCTGACATTCAACTTGAAGAATTTGATCTTTACTGGACTTTTATAGGTCCTCTCTTTCCAGAGACAAATACCCCTCACTTCATAATCACACCTTATTTATGTCATCGCTTTCTAGCAGCACCTACATTTGTGAGCAACTATTTTCAAGAATGAAGCACATTAAGAGTAAAATTAGAACCAAAATATCTGATGAGCACCTTGAGAACTCACTGACAATTGCAATGACTTCCATGAAACCAGACATGATGTATTAGTTCCTCAATTACAATGTCCATTATTTTTGTGTTGCCCACTTTTCTTTTACAATGAAAAATATTTTAAAAAGATGTTTTACTACTTGGGTACATTTTCTATATTGGTGACCACAAACATAGGACATGATCAACAATAGCAAAAGACTCTTTGAACAGGCTGCTGCGTAATTAGGATTATTATCCAATCATGCATGGATCTTTTCTTTTGCTCATCCATGAGCTTGTGTGTTTCTGTACTTAAAAACCCTTCTTCCAATGCGACCCAGAAAAGCCAAATGCTTGGACACCCCTGGATTATGCTGATATGGCTCTCAATGCAGATAGAGGAAATATTAATGGTAATTTTATTACAAATGGGGAGGTTAAAGTGAGGCAAGGTTTCTGCACTTAAACTAGTAAAATGTTGATACCATTAAACTGTGGAGGTGACATAAAGTGAAGGTGTTAAGAACCTGCCACCCCAAAATATGCTACCCTGCCACACAGTTTTGAGCTAAAGGCATTGGAGAAACAGTAGGTACAAGAAGATCACTCTGACCTCCTCTCTCTCATGGGGTTTTTTTTCTGGCAGTGTCTCACTCTGTTGCCTAGGCTCTGTTGCAGTGGTGTCCTCATAGCTCACTGCAGCCTTGGACTCCTGGCCTCAAGCAATCCTCCTCCCTCAGCCTCCCAAAACCTTACAATTATAGGCATGAACCACCATGCTCAGACTTTCTTTTTAAGAGCCGAAGCTTAAAATCCCCATGTGGAAGATGCCCTCCCTATACTAGAAGGGAAGTATCATTTTTATCATCAAGGGCAAGAAGTTGAAGCTGAAAGAAATCTGTGCAGACAAAGTGTTAGACAATCTCTTATCACTTCACAGCACTTCCCCAGCCAGTGTCTCATCTCCCAGGCTGGCAGGCTCCCATTGCCATGGTGTGGGGGCTGCTGTGGTCAGGTGCCCTTGCCCCTCCTCAGAGGCACCCAGGGCTGTCCTAGCACAGGGAAGGTCCACTTACTTTGGCCTTGGTGGCTGAGCACCAGGGACAGTGGCCACAGTGGAACCAAAAGCAGGGCTGGAATAGGCTGGGGGCAGAGGGTCAGGTAGCTCAGCCTAGGGTTTCTCCTTCACAGGGTGGGGGCAACAACTGGGAAAAATGGGCCCCCAGGACATGTGCCAACACCCCTCTATCTACCTTGTCTCAACAGCTGCCTAGAGTGCCCTATGGGCATTGCCACCCATGTGTCCTCGGCTGGCTCCTCTAAGGGTCTTGGCACTTAATCCATAGGGCAGGTCTGCTGTCCCCCGCTTCCTACCAATATTGTAGCCACTGTCCTTCCTGGTCCTCCTTCTCTCTGCCCAGCCCAAGACAGCCCCATGCTATCTTTGAGTCCTCCTGAGAAGCCCTTGCTTGTTTCCAGAAGTCCCCAAGAAGAGAACATGAAACATGTGTGTGTGTTTATTTCAAGGCATGGAGCATAGACATGTCCCCAAATTGGACGGACAGGGGAAGACAAAGACACAGGTACAAAAACTGGAAAACAAAACGACCAGTTAACAGCTCAGATGGCACTGCACACCATAGTTTAAGGCTCCATATGTGTGTATATGTGAAGATGCTTCGCACACAGACACACGCACACCCACGCAGACTGGCAGCGACACAGGGACTGAGGCCAGATGCTAGAGGCTGACCGCTGCTCGTGGCCTGCCTAGAATATTGCAGTTACATTTATTACAAAAGTGTAAAGTGGTTAGACTGTGTGTCGGTCTGAACAAAGTGGCAAACTTGAGCTTCCCTGGCCCAGGGACACGGGGCCAGCTCAACTAGGGCCTTGTGCCCTCCACACCCATCTGCACCCACATCCACCTCCACCTGGGCCTGCGCGCAGGCCGGCCTGGCCAGGAGGTTCCGGGACCTACTATGCTGGGCTCCCTTTCAAACAGTACATAGAGGAATGAAAATGAACATGTCCTCCCCAGAGCGGCCTGGCCTGTCCCTGGAGCCCTCCAGGGTGACGCTGGCAATGAGGTTAGGATCGCAGGAAGGCAGGCCTGTACCTCAGTGTGTAGGAGCCCTGGGGACTCCTGGGCCTGCTTGGAGCTCCCAGCTCCCATCTTGAAACCTTTGTCTCATGGCTGCTGGGGTGTGACTATCCAAAGCCTGGGCAGGCCCTTCTGCCCCAGAATCTGTTGATCCCACATGGCAAATAGAGGCTGGACTGGGAATGACAAGGCAAGTTGACCAGGAGCATGTCGCGCAATGGAAGCTGCATTTGGCTTTAGTGTTAAGGCCAGTGTGGGGCGAGAACCCCGGGGGAGAGGCCAGTGGCCCTGAAGATGGGCCTGGCATGCCCGGGCTGCAGCGCCCCTGTGGTCCCCAGGTCCTTGCTGTGGCCCCATGCTCCTTGGGACCCTGTCACAGTGGCTGTGCTTGCTGGGCCCCTCTACCTCCATGCTTAAAGTGCTGGGTGCTGGGAGGGCATGTTGGGCTGGCAGGAGCTCTGCAGGAGACACTCATGCCACCTCACAGGCTCTTATTTGAGGATGTAGTTAACAAATAGCTGACACGCCAGGAACACGCAGAGCAGGAACCAGGAATGGGGGCTCTGCAGCAGGCCTGGGGCCGGCACCTGTGCAGCCCGTGCCGTGGAGCCCAGCATGGCCGAGAGGTGCCTGCAATGACAAGAGTAGGTTGTGGGGGCTGAGAGGGGGCCAGTATGGCTCATCTCCCACAGATGCCCCCAGGTGCAGAGCAGAGTAGGATCAAGAGAGCATGTCTCACAAAGGCCTGCTATCTTGTACCAACCTGGGCCTCAGGGCACAACTCTTGGGCATCCTGCCAGCACCTGCTCCCAGCATCCCTGGGATCTATTCTGCATGGGTGCAGGGCCACAGCAGTGAGCCCAGGCTGCCATCTGGCTTCACATGCCTCAGGATCTCTTTTGGGGCTATCCCCAGGCCCACACTGGGGCCAGCACCTTCCTTTAGGTTCCTTGAAGTCTCAGGATCAGTGTCTGCTGAGTACTGCACACTTGCTCTGTTCAAATGCTACATCTGTGCCACCCACCACCCCCACGCCTAGCTCCCCATGCAGGGCCCTACATGAGGTGCCAGGCCTACCTGTGCAGCTCCTGCTGAGCCTCACGGATGGAGAGGACAGCTTCATGAAGGGCCTGCAGCTGCCGTGCTGCCTGCCTGCACCGAGGGCATGGGCTCCCGCTGTCTGGGTCGTGGGGGCACATTGGAGGGGAGGGGAGAAGCAAGGGTGAACTGCAGGCTCCAGGGGGCTGGCACATGGGTCACAGAGTTTGCCCAGCTCAGCCCCTGCCCCAGTTCATGGGAAACCTGCTGGACCAAGCTAGAGGCCCAGAAGGCACTGATGGGTGTTTCGGGAGGGAATCCCAGGCCCAGCTGGCCCCTAACTAGCCTTGGGAGGCAGAAGTAGCCCAGGGATGGCCAGTTCCTATGGAGGCAGAGACGGAGGCAGGGACAAAGTCAGGGAGACATAGGCTGTCCAGTGAGAGTGGAGGAGCAGACAGGTAGGCAGGACCAGAGGGGCAGGGGCAGGGGCAGGGGCAGGTAGACACCACCCAGGCTGCCTCACACAGACCCACCAGCTGAGCCAGCCCTGGCCTGGGCCCACTTCCTTCCTTTCCTGCCCCCACCATGTCCTTATCACCCTCTGGGCTGCCCCCAGGCTCTGAGAGGGCAGAGCCTGTTAGGATGGTCAGTGGGGCCAGAGGAGTTCCTGCCCAGAAGACCTCCCCTATCCTCCTAAAGGTGCCTCTCTGGCCCTTCCCCTCTTGCAGAAGGGCTGAGGATGGGGTAGGCCCTCCTGTCCAGTCAGAGTCCAAGGTGCCCACCAGGCAGGGCTCAGAACCAGGCCCAAGAAGGACTCACCTGGAACAAAGCCCCCATCCTGGTCCTCGTCTGAGAGCTCTGGGCAGGACTCAGGTGTGGAGCCACTGCTCTCGGTGACCTGGCTATGGCCGGAGGGCTGGTCACTGGCCTTGCGGAATCTTCGGTCTGGGCCAGATCTCTGTGGAGAGATGGAGTTACTATGGCTGGCAGTCACCCCCGCCCCACCAGGCCCTCAGGGACATGGTGGCACGCTCATGCCAGGGCAGCACTAGAAAAGGCCACAGTTAGAGGATGTAGCTGCCTGCTGGGGAGCTGACCAGGTTGGTGTAAGTCTGGGCCTATTTCACTAGGTAACAAGGGGCTGCTGACCTCTCCACAGGGGCAAGGGCCTGCAAGGCAGTGTGGACAGGCCTTTCCTGTGCCTGTCATGGTATTATGCCCAACAAATGCAGGAATAATGCCATGAGGGCCCTGGGTGGTCATAGCTCACACCACTGTATGAGCTGGAAGGTTCTACAGGAACTTGGGACAGCTAGGGCTTCTCCCACACTAAGGGGTCATCTCTGGAAGAAGCCCCCACTCAGCCAGTGCTAATAAGCCCCCAGGAGTATAAGTGTAGCCAAGGTGAAGTTCATTCACTCAGCAGTAACTCAAGTACACAGGAACCACTGACATAAACTGACCCTCAGGGGTTGGGGTAGCAGCAGCAGAACCGGACTATGGCCCAGTCCTGAGTGGCCCCACAAATCCCATGGCACCACAGGGACCCATGTGTCCCTCAAAACCCAACTCTTGGCTAAGGCTGTTCCCTCCCTCCGTGTTCCTCCATGAGGCCTCCTGCCCACCCTCCCACCCTTTTTGGGCCCAAGATCTGTACAAAGGCTGGTTTTTCCTCTCCCTGCTAGGCAGGTCCCAAGGCTCAGCCTCCTCAGCAGTAGGATAGGCTAATGTGGCTACTAAGGTGAGGAGAATGACTCTGGGGGCAATGGGCCAGTAGCCAGCAGTGCCTGGCTTAGTACCTCACATACTAGGTGACAGGAACCAGGCATCCTGCAAATCTAGGCATCTTGGTGAGCAGGGAGGGGGAGAAGGAGGGCACGGGGTCCAGGGAGGGGAGGCAGCTGGCAAGGTTGTGGGTAGTACCACAACCCTACAGCTGAGAACAGGCTGGGCCAGGGTGCTGACCTCGTGCCGGGGTCCCGGGCTGCCCTGGAAGGGGGTCTGGAGGGCCACATCCTCCCGCCGCAGGGTCTGCAGGATCCCATCTTGCTCAAACTGGGCGATGTCCTTCTCAGGGTCCCAGGGGCTGCGGCTGGAGGGTCCAGAGGGCATATGTCAGCAGAGGCAGAGGTCTTGGGGGGAGGGGGCTGTCCCAGCCAGCCCTCAGCCTTCCAGCAGTGGCTGGAGCCCCTGGACAGAGACCACTGCCCACCTGCCCCGGGCAGGGCTGTAGTAGGGCTGGTGGAGGGCTACCTGACCCTCCCTCTCCCTTACTAGCTCCTCCAGGGGATGGGCACAGTGTGGGCAGGGAAGCCCCCTGCAGCCCTCCTCAGTCGGGTAGGCCCAGCCCCACCCCCAGGGCCCCCAGGGCCATTGCCTGCCCCCACTAACTTCTCGTATCTGTAGTGCCACTCCCTAGTGACAGGGTCCACGTGGAACAGCTGTGGCTTCCAGGAAGTGACGCTCTGCTGGAGCTCCCGGGTCCGCTGCCGCTGCGCCTCTTCTAGCACAAACTTCTCCTGTGTGGCCTTATGCTGGTCACCTTCGCTGATGGCCTTGGTGACATGCTGCCAGAGCCTGCAGGCCCCCAGACCCACCCTGAGCTGGAGGCTCCGGCAGCCCCAACTCCTAGGCAGCTTGGACGGAGGGCCCCTTGGCCCTAGACGGAGGCTCAGAGCAACCTCTGCCTGACTGCCAGTGACAAGGAATTCATTGCCTTGCAGGCGTCCTGCCTCCCAGGGTGGTTTTTTCTCCATGAGATGGTTTTTTTCCTATGCTGAGCTCCCTCCTCTTGCCTTTGGGGAACTCCTGGAGGTCACCTTGCACAGGGACATGCTCATGGCACTGTTGCCACCCTCCAATCTGCCTGCTGGCTGCAGCAGCAGTGCCCCTTGGGTGCCGGGCGGTCTCACCTCTCGGACTCCAGCTCCGTTTGCTCCTCTAGCAGCACTGTGTGCCGCTTCAGTCTCTGCCCGCGGGCTGCCCCATCTGGGGTCCAGAAGAGCTCAGGGCTGCTGCTTCCCTCTTCCTTGATGAAAACGTCACTGTCCTGCCCAGATGGCCAGCCAGAGTCAGAGGTGCCAGCCGGGTGAGGAATGTCCAGCCACACCTGCCCTGAGGGACGGCCTCTTACCCAGTGTCCGGTGAGACTTGCCAGGACGTTGTTCCCAGACATGATCTTCCCTGAGATTTGGTTGATGCTTGTGCTACTACCGAAGAAAGGCTGCAGGGCCACCCAAGACAGAGCCCAGTGAGTGGCTAGGCCCCTTCCAGAGAACATCCTCAGGGGACACAGAGACATGACTCTCATGGGATGCCCAGTAGCCCGCCTAGGACAGGACTTGATGCTGGAGGAGGCCACAGGCCCTGGTGCCTCCCTGAGCAAAGAAATGCAGGCTGCAGGAGAAGGAGCCTGGGCCCCTCCTGGTTCTGCTATATGGCCTGCAGGCAGCCCTTTCCCTTCTTGGGGACTTTCAGTACCCAAAGGATGCCAAGAGCTGCTCCCTGTGTGACCTGTTTGGGGACCTTTCCTGGAGTATGAGAGCATGGCTGGAGAATCCCCAGGATCTCGTCCCTTCCCTGGCTGAGCTCTGGGCCTTGCTTGCCCCTACCCGGCTACAGCCAGCACTACCTTGAGCTTGAAGTCCAGCTCCACTTGGAAGTTGTTGTTTGCACACTTGATGGTCACTTTCCCGCCCAGCTCCATGGTCATTGTGCCATACAGGATTCCTGAAATGCAGCTGGTGTCAGGGGTTGGGCCACTCTGATCCTGCCAAGCCCCAGGCCCTACTGAGCCCTGACTAAGTAGCATGAACCCCCAGGAGGCCTATGCCAGACCCCAGGAGGGTGAGAGGAGAAAGTAGAGGAGACAGGACCCCAGCCTGTGCTCTGGGAGGAGCCTGGGCCCTTGGTCACTATCTCCCCCATAAGGGGTTCTCTGTCTCTGCTGGGGCCTTTGCTTATGTCCAGAAATCACCCCCATCCTTTGCTAGGCCAGCTCCCTCAGGACCCCTTGTTCCAGGCAGCCCTCAACTCTGCAGTTCCTGCTCTAACGTCACCTCCTAAGGGCAGGCGTCTTTCCCACTCACTGCTGCGTCCCTGGACAGCGCTCCACACAGAGTGGGCACTAGCACCCAGGATGGCATTCAGCATATTTAAAAAACTAATCCATCTTCTGTTCAATGAATGAAGAAAAGAATGAATCTTTTGGCTATTAAAGAAGCCACCACAACCACCAAACCAAAACATTTCCAAACCTTTTAAAAATCCAAATGGAGCCCTAGACTACGGGGAAAGAAGAGGGGGGAGGGGAGGGGAAGGGTAGGTGAAGAGAATGATATTGTGGGGATCATGCCTATAGTTTATTCTATTTGGGTACAGGTGAATTTGTCTAAAGTTTGAATATAAATGTCTTAGCATAACAATTATGAGAAAGACATGATGGCTATGTTGGCCACCTGGATGAGAGTTTTCCAAACTGCATATAGAAGTAACACACTGTATCCTATGAGAGAATTAATGTACACAACTATGATCTAATAAAAAATAAATAAATAAATAAATGAAAAAAAAAATGGAAAGAAAGAAGCCAAGCTGTTTGGAATAGCAAAGGCTCAAAACCTCCAGCATCCCCCTGCAGGGGGCTGGCTAGACACACCTTGGCCCGTGCATGCGACAGAAAACCAAGCAGCTTAGAAGAAGCAGGTGGGATGGGGGGGGTCTACGCAGGGTGGGGGGTCTGCGCTGTGAGAGGGTCTCTAGGCTCATGCTGACGTGAGAGGGGCCAGCTCTACACAGAGTGGGCTCTGCTCCTCCACAGGGCACAGCGGTCCCAGAGACCTGACACTTTGACTATACATAGATTTGTTGTGACTTTGGAACCAAGAAGATAGTTTAATTACTGAGAAATTATAATTATAAAAAAAATTAAAAAGCACTTCTTAGAAATCAAAAGTAAAATGAAATAAAAACTCTGAATCAGGTATTAGCTGTGGCATAATCTCAGAGCAGACTGAGTCCCAATGACTAAAAATGCCAGTGGGACATATTCAGGACAGAAACAGCCACACAAACCCTGTTGTCATTGTGTGTAGCTGGCAGGGCTGGCTGTGAGGGTCCAGACTGACACATGTGTGATGTGAGAGCTGTCACTGTGTGTGGCTGGCAGGG